GCACAGCGTCCCGAAAGGCTGCGAACAATAAAACACCAAGAAATCAGAACAAAGAGACGCTAAATGAGTTAGAACTACATCACAGACAGCCTCATAACGGGGTGTCTTTGTTTCCGACGCACAAAGCATTTTCATTTATTAATAACTAAGGCCAAAGAGGAAAGGAAAGAGTGTCTAAATAAAAAAAAAACATCGTACTACTTCTTAGTGCAAACGCATCCACTGCAAGAAGTTTCACTAGCCTCCACAGCGTTGCACCTGATATATCAAACGGAGTATATCACACGACGTTCTACAAAAATTCATCTAGCTAGTGTCGTGAAAATGCCGAAAGTAATAAATTTTGAAATTTGTTATGACACACACGGAGTCAAAACAGGCGAGAAGTAGGATTCTAGCCACCCTACCAGAAGTACGAAGTTTAGACAAATGTGTGTACTACGGTGCCATCATTCCCATGCTCACTGAAGCGCCGTGCGTTGCAGCTCCCATAGACACTAACACCAGAGTTCTCTCTAGTGTATATTAGGAAACTCTATGGTGACAGCTGCCATCTGATTTACTGTGAACGGCCCCATATGTACACCAACGTTTCTAGACTAGGTAAGTTGCAAAACTCCCCACGTCAGACTACTCGGCACACAGCGCCGGGACAGCTTTCGGTTTGGTGGCACTGGCGGCGCAACAAGCTTCCGCTAGCAGACGAAAACACGTCGTCGTGGCAAGACGCCGTGGCGGCCGTTCTGAAAGAGCTTTGCCAACAGCATACTATGTAGATTTGTTGTGCTGCCGCAGAAACCTAATACTGCGTAATATTTAGCGGTGTAAGGCACAAGTGGTATAATTATGGCTTTCTGAACAGCCCACAATAAACAATGCTTGATATATATAGCATAACATACACGAGTCTTTTGGTTAGTTGCTAGTTGGGGTACGTTCGCCATAGATTTTTAGACGCGAAAAACCTAATTACAATGTCTTGCATCGTCTCTTGTGGCTGTGTTTATCGTGCTTGAAAATAAATTACAACTATATGGCACAATCTCGTGGCTTTTGTCTGGTTATGTAAACAGCTTATTTTTTTTTTTTTTCGTGTCAGTCACATTGTTTAGCAACTTAGACAGTCGAAAAGCTACGCGTGCGGCCATTATCTTGAGCATGTCTTCCCTCTGCTTCTTCTGGAGTTCCTCTAATGAAACCTGTTAACACAGCTGCAGCCAAAGCTTCGAGCAGAGACCGCACTTTGGGGTATCGGTGAGCCCTTCGTAGTCATTACTCACGAGTCTGCCTGCTGATGCACTGGGACAACATGAACACACTTTCAGCTTTTCTATGTCCCCCATAAGTTCGTCCAATTTGGTGATGGTATCTGCATTGGTGCAGATACCATCACCATAAGCGATACCATAAGCGATGGTGACGGCTGCTAATGGTGACTGTCATGTCTCTTGTGATTACAACACCTTTCTTCACAAGTGGCGCTTTTTTAGCACTAGAAACACCACAAGACGACTTATCTCGCCATTCTTAACAACTTTCCACCAGCATGCAGCAGACAAACAAACGTTTTCTATGTCTTGAAGCGAAATGACGCCACTAGTTGACGGCATGTCGGGACTTATTTCACTGTCTTCGAACTCAGTGCTCGGAGATAGTCGATTATTTTTCGCCGTTGATATTCTGGAAAATACCCCACTCCCATCAGGCAGCTTTCGCTTCTTTGTCGTGGGCCCCACGACAAATGTAAGTGGGCGAATTGAGGGATACTCGTGGAACGCATCCTTCGACGACGTCCCACTTTGCTCTGGCGATTTGTACCTTCTTACCATGTGACGTGAGTGAAAGTCTTCAGGATGTCCTTCTCATGAAAGTGCATACCACACACACGTGAGGTGCTAGGCAGTTTGCTATCCGCACGAGGAACAGCGTGGTCCCATACCTCTCGCTGCTCAGGTACACGTGGGTACAAAAGAAATGTTGTGGTGTCTCTAATTTCCTGTAGCTACTCTACAGCCGGGAACACAACATCTGTGCATGATGAAAACACACAATACATACAAAGCAGAACAGGGCACGCTGAAGCACAAAACTGTTCACGAAGAAAGAAGCCTCCACAGATACCGACGCACTGCAACAGGCACAGGCGATGGAGGTTACGGGAATGACACGAGTGAGCATGCAGTGAGTGAATCCGGATGCGACAGCAGCGGCACATTTGTCGCTGGCAGTGGCGGCGCCACGCAACACCGCTCAGTTTTGCAACTTACCTAGTTCTAGAAACGTTGATGTACACTACAACACCCTGGGATGTGAAAAGCTAAGCGGCAATGCAAAGAAAGGACGTGTATTGTGCTGCTGTGTCAAAGAAGTTATCAGTCGAACAAGGAAAAGGTGTCTTGTTCCCCGCACTAACGGATCGACATGGTTTCCTGAATGAAAAATTAAGATCAAGAGGGCAGACGAAAGGCTGAATCCGAAGGCTGTCGTGTGAAAAAAGCATTCTCAGAGTGTCTCCATCGAACTATCTTTTCGGATTCGGGTGAACGGTGTCGGGAATGAAATTGCCGTTTATGCGAAAATCCAAATACTATTATTTATCTAAATGATTGAAAATACCCTTTCGAATTTCATTCACACAGTTTTTCTCTCATGTCAATGTGGGACTCGCTTTCCAACAACGTTTTGAGTATCATATGCGGCGAGTGTCAGATTATTCATTGGCATGTTATCATTCTTTGTTTTCACTTGAATCCTGATAGAATGCAGGCTAAGAGGTAAAGGTTTTATGGTCTTCTGTGATAATTCTTGCTCTCAAGAACAAAGGACATTTTAAAAAGTAACTCAAGTGGTTATACTGTCAACGGTTTTTAAAATTAAATTCTTTGCGTATTGCAACCACTTTGAGCATCCATCTATCTATCTATCTATCCGCCCGTCTGTCCATCCCTCCGTCCGTCCGTCTGTTTGTCCCTCCGTCCGTCTGTCCATCCGTCTGTCTGTCTGTCCGTCTGTCTGTCCGTCTGTCTATCCGTGCGTCCATCCATCCGTCTGTCTGTCTATCCGTCCATCCGTCTATCTCTCCGTCCGTCTGTCTGTCTGTCCATCCATCTGTCTGTCCATCCGTCCGTCTGTCCGTCCGTCTGTCAATTTTTGTCTGTCCGTCTGTCCATCCGTCCGTCCGTCCGTCCGTCTGTCTGTCTGTCTGTCTGTCTGTCTGTCTGTCTGTCCATCCATCTACCTATCTATATATTTATCTATCGAATCGACTACGTCTGGCTGCCCTCACAATCTCCCCCTTGAATTAGGGTCTTCGAAATGCTTTGCAAGAAGAGCCAAATGTTCGTGAAACACCGATGCTGGTTCCAGTGTTGACTATCCAATTTCTTGCATATATTTAGCGCCACTTCATAATGTTTCACTAAATAAAATATTACAACAGAGTCACCTTGCATAGCATTGATTCCCAATTTATGTGGGATCTGTGTCTTTATTTTTCTTTTTTTTTTTTGCTGGCAGTAGCGGATGGCGAAATGTATGCCACGAAATGATATTCATTTGGCATTGGAAAGCACCAGTACTGTGAAAGCAATCGAGTAGTTCTCATACAATAAAGCATTATGTAAAAAAAAAACTCCGAAAATGCAGGAAAATAATAGTTACCCTTGCGCGGCTCGTCCTCCTGCAGGCTTCGCAGCGCTTGCGGAGCGCTAGGATCGAACGACTGCTAAAACAGCCTTTCTTCACCAAATGCGGTCACGTTGACTCGCGCTTCAAGCTCATTGCCGCTTTTCCGTTCCGATTTCTAGTTTCTGAACTTATCAACGCATTCTCAAAAAGCTCTGATTTGTACCACGAATATTGTCGCTAAAAACAAAATAATGCAACATGTTTTTCTATATTACTGTATGATGGCCTTCGGTTGTCTATTTACGAGATTTTAAGAAAAATCGAAGATGGTTTTTTTTATTATTCAAATTTCAGTGGAGTACACTTTTGCCAATATTAGAACTTTGAGGCAATATATAAAAATGTACATTTGCCCTACAGCAGCAATAATTTATGTACCTAATGAACACACTATAATCTTAAAACGTGTCAAGTTTGAAAACGCTGCTTGCATTACTTTCGGAGGAAAAAAAATGGGGAATACGTAACTTATTTTAAACTGTCGCAAAATTAGACATTTTTAAAAGCTATTTTCTTAAGGTCTACAAACTTGAAACCATATGAATTCATTCTTCATTAGACATGCATTTCAGGTAAAAAATATCTTCCTTGAAAAAAAAAATATTTGTCTTTTTATAGCATCTGCAATTTTCGAAAATGTCAGGTGATGAAATTTATGCCTCCGTGTTGGTGAAGTTTGATTTTTTTTTTTTTTCTCGTAAGTTATGTCGTTAATCATAAAACGAAGTTGACTTTCGGGCTGCCTGGTGAGAGTTGCACGAAATATAAAATACTCAATGAAATCTAAAATATCATCTTTTGGACCCGTGTCGATCTCTCGTGGAATCACCCTATTCTAAAGGACAGGGCATGCAAACACAATTGAGAGTCACAAACGCCGGCCTTTGTGGTGTTGCGACTTCTTTCTCGTGTCCTTGTTTGTTCGTCCTGTCTTTTTAGAATGCATTTTTATGAAATACCTTGTTTATTATCCCTCCTTTACTACTTGTGCGCCGGTACCACTTGTGCTCGGGCAGCTGCGGCAAACGGATGGCAGCATGCGCGGAGGAAGGAAAGCAAGGAGCGGACTGTATGTGGTTCTGTCTGCTCCGTTTCAGGGGGCCTTTTTTTATTGTTCGACAGCACTCTACCCAATCAATTAATTTTTTTGTCATGTTTTCGCGTGTTATTTTTGTGCGTTTCACCGTCTTTACGTGACCTACAGTAGTAAAGTGGTAAGTGTTCTCTAACGTCAGTTTGACGTGGCCACAGTGCTGAGCTGGCAACAATGTGCGTTTAATTTGTTATGGTGCATAGCCTCCTCTATGTATGGTGTCGTTTGCGTGAATCTACCGATCGCATGCCTGTGTAGATTTACCCGTTTCGTTGCGTTACCTCGGCAGTGGACTCGCGTTGTTATTTTTACGTGCATACTACGCAAACTGAGCGTTGTTGATTCGCCCTACTACAGGCGCCACAGATATTCGCGAATATGGGAGAAGTCGCGCAATCCGGCAGTACAACGCCACTTCAAGACGACTGCTGTTCGACTAAAAGCGAGAAGAGAAAAGTACGCAGGCGGAAGAAGAAACTTTTCAAGAGCATTCGGGATCAGGTGGGGAAGCTCTAGCAGCACGTCTGTTGTATCATGTTGACATCACTTCTTTTATGTTTGTTGTACTAATGTCCTTCAAAGAGAAACTCCAACAGGGCAGTAAACTGATGCGTTTGTGCGATCTATTTCAGATGGAGTTCTACTTCAGCGACGCCAATCTCCGCAAGGATCGTTATATGAACCATCTCGTGCTGAGAGATGAGGAAGGATGTGAGTGATTGCTCCTCTACTTTCACGCGGCCGTCGTCATTAACAAAGCCGTAAAACGATGTTTCGCTGCATGGCCTGTCACCGTTTTAGTTCTAGCCTTTGCCGGAAGGTCTCCCCGGCGCGAGGACCTTCCACCAGATGATTGAGCATTTGATAGCAACGCTTCGAAAAGTGCTGGTATCGCGTGTATTTATGCTGCTGAGTATCGAGAGCATACAGATGCCCCAAAAGTAAAGCGCGTGAGCTACGTCCGCGTTACGCTAAACTGCATGCCGGTGCGTTTTGTCAGAGAAGTGGTTATTTGTTCATAAACGGAAATGTGCCAAAAGATAGTGCCATCATTTCCGTTAATAATTGAACAACCGCTTCTCTGATATAGTGTGTTGGCATGCAGCGTTGCGTAGCTTAGCCACACCTCGCGTGCTTCGTTTTACCTTGGGGGCACCTGTAATTACGTGCTAGAGCCCTCAAGATGCGTATGTGCTGTGCTGGTGCTCATGCCTCATTCGTGTTTTTTTTTGTTATATTGTTTCTTTTTCCAGACGTGGACCTCGAGGTGTTTCTGACATTCCACAAAATACGCTTCTTAACTTCAGACGTCAGGGACATAGCAGGTGCTATAGCCACATCCAAATTACTGCAGGTAGGAAGCTTTGCTACTGTAGCGTTTATTCAGCGCTGAAGAGCAATACTTCATTTAACGTGACGCATCAAGAGCTCAGGGAACCTCTAATGCTTAGGGGCTCTGTGTCCGTTGGAAGACCATGAGAAAACAAGCAAAGGAGATGCAGTCTGCATTTCAGGCATGGCATTTCTGTGCCCATTGTAGCTATATTATATGTTGATCTATGCTAATTTTGAATTTATTCTTTTACCCGTCGAAAGGCACGTTCGTGCTGTTGCAGCAATATCAACTTTTGTGTTTTGCTAATAATTGTGAGCGAACACTGCAAGCCGTGAGCCATCAAAAGTGTTGTGGTCCTTTGATTATCGATTGTACAAGGTTATATCTTATGTCACCCAACTCGATTGCCAGTCATGAGGATTGTTTGCTGTTAAAAAATTTTCACATTGTTGTCTGTTGCCGGTCACAATCGACTCTGGCTCTGACAATGGTGATGCCGACAATACAGTGAGAACCACTTAAGGGCATGGTATAGGTTACTACCCCGCCCCCCATTCAGAGCACATAAGCATTGGCATCGCTATCGTATGATGAAATGTCACTGTCGATAGCAAAAATGCTATTCTCTTTGTCATGCACTCTGAGCAAAAGGCGCCTTATCTTTTCTCCCCCCTTTTTTTTAAAATTTTTGTCCTCGATATAAACCTATAACTGCTTTGTTTTCAGCATTGCTAATCGTATTACAATATCACCGCAACCCACAGTGATGGATGATGTGAAAATAACATATGATTTGTGTCACGGGGCCCCTTTCAAGAGCTCTGACACAAAATTCTGCATATTGTTTTTTTGCTGCAATGAGCCAACGACTCATTTAACGCAGCCAGAAAGCTGGTTCGCTCGAGCACATGGCGGCTAATTATTCGGAGACAATCTTATAGTGCCCATTCGCAGTTATAGTTTCACAAAGTGCCAAGTGACGATATGACCAGTGTGGTTTTTGTGTAAACATAGCTGGCTACACGAGCACCATGCTGACACTCCTTTCAATGAAGACTTCCAAGGTGGTGCTATAGTCTCCTCTGAGATGCTCTCAAAATATGTGTTATCCCTCAAGAATCCACTTTTGAGGCAAGAACATCAGGTTTTCTGCGCCGTGCACGTCTGCTCTCTCTCTCCATCCTTTTAAAAGCTCTGCTAAGAGAGCACTTGCAAGGATTGTGATAGCCGACTCAGACTTGTCGCACTGGTGGCCGTTGGTTGCTTACATTTCTTATATGGAAACCAAAGGCAGATTTCACGTGCTGTGGCAAGACACTCTCATTAATATTGATTTTAAAGATGTTCTAAACTGTATTATTTGTTGACATTTCACAGATGATGCATCTGTGTCTGCACAAATCTGTCCCACTAGTTTTCTCGACTTGAAAATGTTCTGTCAGTACTCTATTATTCTAGAAGTTATCAAAATTTTTGGGCAGAAGTGTTTATCATACCCTTATGGTATGTTGGCATCCCAGCTTATCAACCATCTCTTTATTCTTTTCTGACCCCACCTCATTGTACAGATGGATGAGGAGCACAGGCGGGTGCGACGTGGTTCTGAGTTCACGGCTAAGGTTGATGTTGATGAGTGCACACTGTACGTTGAACGGTTACCTCTGCACGCTGATCACGCATGGCTGAAGGGGGCCTTCAGTCGACATGGGCAAGTGGTCTATGTGAGCCTTCCACGGTATCGTCATAACAACCGCATCAAGGGGTTTGCCTTCATCGAGTATGCCTCACCGGAAGATGTTGACAGAGCTTGCAAGGTAATTCGCAACTTCCAGGTATCGTGGCACCGCTTAGCGGTGGTGGCTATAAGCTATGTTGAGATGATTGAAGTTTTGGACCTGTTTCAAACAGCAGATGTTGCTGCTTGTTTTCCCGCGATTGTGATCATTTTGCAAAGTTGTGAACGGCCTTGATGTTACCAGAACCCTCTGAGTTTCTCAAGGTAAAGGGAAAGTAGAAAGAAAAAGCCGACTGGTTTCACTACGAGCCTCGAAGCTGACAGCCTATATACACTGTGAAGAAAGTAAGCCTCCCGTTCAAATTAGCGCCCCAAAAATACATGAGTGGTTTAGAGGGTTCAATATACCAAACAGATGACCAAGACCTGTGAGTGTATGCAACACCCATTTTGTTTACGAGCAAAGCAACTTCCAGGTTTACAGTTTTCGCGCTTAGTTCGTCTGCTCGACACGGTCGCTGTGCCAACATTACCACATCTAAATTAGTAATGCGTTCCGCCTCTAGAATAGAATGGAAGGACCTGTTTCAAAACGTACATTGCATTGTTACACATCTGAGGCGTCTGCAAAGTGACTCCATGACCTGCACATTTGCAGCAATTTGTGTTCGGTTTTGCTTGCTCATGGCGCTTTTTTTTTGTCATTTTTGCCTCGCACCACGTTATCTTTTGTACTTCTGAAACATTTAAAAATAGAATAGTAATGGGAAAGTCACCTCTTAAGTGTCGATATTGCATATAACAAAGCACCCTAAAATGATATTGTTGGTAAAATGACATGCCTCAGTTTGTTCTTGTGCTTCGGTATTGAAAAAAAAGTAAGTTTTTTTTTCGTCTGCTTATTCTACTTGGTGCTTTTAGGTGAGGTGAACAAGCTCCGCGCATAATTACAATGCAAGCAAAACTGTAAATTAAAGCGTGTCTCCGAAAATGTTTCTGATAGTACGGAGAAACTTGTACGGAGACTCCCATTATAATTCTTTTCCAACATGACAACAGGTGCTGCACGCTATTACGCACAGCCAGCAATGTGGAGATGGTACGGGCACGTAGGCCTTATTTACAATTCTGCACATATTTATCGACCCATTGTGCTACCCGGCATTTATTTTCTTAATTTAGTGTGTTAGCACTCCCCTACTTTCTCAAATACATATCGTATTTACTCGCGTAATGAACGCACTTTTTTTCTAGAAAATCGGAGCAAAGTGGGGGGTGCATTTATTATGGGGGGCAAATTTTATGAAAACTTTTTCAGTATGAGCAAAAAAAAGTTAGGTCGCTCAGCTTCTTTGTTGCACTTCACTTGTCTTCGGTGGTTGAAAACGCAATTTTCTGCAAGCTGTTGCCGCCTCACCTTTGCATGCCATAAAGGTGTTTCGCGACTATCTTCTCTTGCAATCATTTAACTGCAACATTAGTATCTGCTGTGATCTCGAGGGGCGCCCAAAAGCATGCGCTACGACACCACGACGCACTTTGCCAACTTCGTGGCAACCTCACGCGACGACCGCGACGGCGCCATTGATATTGTAGCAAGCAACCAACATAGCAGCAAGCTACCATCGAAACATCAAAAGAAACCATCGATAACAAGATGAACGATGGAATACAGCGGCCGCCTCGCTTGCGATTGAAGCAATAATCTGGAACCATGTTGAGAAATTAGTCACGATCTTTTCCGGGGGACAAGCGATTTTTTTCTTTTTTTCCAGAAGCCTGGAAAAAAAGGGAGTGAGCTGAGATGGTCAAGGGGTGTCGGCATAATAAAAAAAAAAGGAAAGAGATCCAATGGGCAAGGAGGCGCCAGGTGTTGGTTAGTGGGACTGCAGCAGACGAATGTAGGGGGTGCATATATATTTGTGGGAGAAAAAAAAAATCACAATTTTGACGATTGAAGTTAGGGGTGCGTTTATTATGCAAGTGTGTTCGTTACGCGAGTGAATACGGAAAATCGAAGGGCCCTGGAGGCGCGAAAAATTGCACACTTCACCAAAAGTGTACTTCCCGGTACCGTCTTTCACGGGTCGATCATCTCAACGACCTCCATGTTGGATGTGCAGTCGCGTCACCTATAGGTCGCGAAAGTTGCGAATTTCACCCCACTGTGTGAACAAATATCAACCTTTTTTTTTTCAACTTCATGAGTTCATCAGGCAAAGTAAGCATCCCCCATCTGTTGTCTGGAACTTGGGCGAATCACTATATTCACTCATCATCAGATGCACCATACATTGTTGCGCAGGCTTTGGATGTTTCCTTTTTTACTGTAATAACTGCACACCTATAGTTAACCCTCTGCATTCCCACAAACTAATTGACGGGCTGTATTTTTTCTGTTCACTTCCTGTGCCTATAACTGTGCTAATTTGTGGCACTAAGAGCCACCTTTCAGGGAAATAAATTGCTTGACAGCCAGTGAAAGCAAGGTAGGCAGTTTGGCACCTTGAAACGAGAGAACAAGCAAGCTGTACACCAAGCCCATTTTTAATTGAAAGCTTTCTTTGGCCTAGCTTTGCAAACGTGGTGTGCCATTGTGTTGTTTGGTGGCCGTTGTCTCGCCTAGTGAAGCTGTACATATTGGAAATATGACCACTTTCACAGAGTTTTGCATGGCTCAGTCCTGCGGGCATTGGCATTTGTGACTGGTAAACAGCATTTCTAGTGCTGTGCCAGGGTTACTAGTTCTAAGTCTGGCGCAGTGCTAGAAATGCAGTGCTGGCACTACTTGCTATTTTTGAATAGTACAACGAATGCTTTTGGCCGTCTATTATGACATACAAGTGGTGTAATGTTTCACAGAATGTTGCAATACATATCACCAAAAGTCACCTCTCAGAAATATTGCTCCTGAGTACAATTTCATTGCTCTTCGAGGCAAGCCACTATAATGATGACCAGTATGCGATGCATTCTTCACTGAAAGCACTCGTTTCTTATCATAATGTGCTGTTTTAACAGCTCATTAAGGTGTCATGCTACTCAGCGTAAGACTTCTTTTCCTAGCCAAGGCAGCTGCACATCAATGGCAGTGAAGTACAAGAACACCGTTACGCCTAGGTTCAGGTGCAAGTTAAAGAACCCTAGTGCTCTGTCTCTTTTTATGGCATACCTCATGATGACATCGGGTTTTTGGCATGTGAAACCCCACAAGTTGTGTCTTGAAGGCTCTTTAAGGCTTTGCTCGGTCCTGAAGCTCCCACAGTACTTGAAGGTGATTTGTTTTCTGCTTTGAAGGCAATCAGTCTGCAATAGCATAGTCTGGTCCATTCTTTTATGCCTCGTGCATTTTAAAGTGGCATGAGGCTGTTATTCCATGGATACAGTTGATCTTAAATCTATTGTTGAGCATAAAGTTAGGCACGTCACAACATGCATTTTGATTTTTAACTACTTCAAGGGCAAGTTATTCGCAAGCATGTATTTTGATCAGTCATCAAACTACTGTGTCAGAAGTGGTAAAAAAGAAAAGGTGAAAAAAAATTGATAAAACTTGCATGAAGGACATAATATTTGTGTGTGTGGAGTACAATCTTACAACAATGCAAAGCAAGAATATGGGAAAAATTATCATTTGAAAGGTGAAGTTCACTAGAATCAAAATGATTTCGTTATACTGTAAGGTATGTTTCACTGCACACTATTGAGACCAGTTCAACTTCACTCGCAGTCGAAGTAGTGAAACTCTCTCAGTCACTGCGGTTTTTTTATGAGTACTGAATAATATTTTTTTATGAGAAGGAGAATTTCTCTTTTAGAAGTCGAAACCCGCAATAACAAAACCCCGCGAGTACGAAATCCCCGCGGCAATCCCCGCGGTTCATAGAAGCCCATGTATTACATATCTCGCGGCAACGAAAATGTTTTTGGACAGCGATCCCGCATTAACGAATTTTCTACCACGGTGCAGGCCTTATTTTACCCTCCCGCCAAAGGTTAACTGTCGAAAATATGCTCATATGCGTGTTATGCGCACTCAAAATTTGTAAACGTCTGCTTTTGCCGCGCTAGCGTGGGTACCGCCATTTTTGTTTACTGAAGGGGGGACGCGGCTTTAGGATCGCGAAAAAATGGCAAAAAAATTGATTTTTTGAAAATCAAGTTTTCAGTTTCTGGAACCCTTTTTCTATCTGATTCCAAAATATCTACACTGAAAACCGCGCATAAGTGCTTCGGAATATTCATTTCACCCACCTAGGTAGTGAAACTTTTCCTGGAAATCGCAAGAAAACAGCGATTTTTTTTAAATTATGGCTTCGCGATGGCGGGGCCAAAAGCCGGCTTCTTGGGCTCATCGCAAAGAGCATTTTTCCGTGTTTAACTTTCCCGCCTCAGCTGGCTCCTCCCTTTAAAAAGAAGCGCACAAAAAGCAAGTGTTTGAAGGTCGTTTCAAGGCCCTTGATTAGCTGTGGCCGCCATGTTGCTTCAGCTCGCCTCGCCATTGACCCGATGCTCGCTCCGGGAGATCGTCGTCTGCTGCTTGTGCGTCGTGAGGACATAGCTCTCGAAAATTCCTACTTCGTGACGTGTTCACGGCTCGATGATCACTTAAGATATAATTACGATTTAGTTTGCAGTAAGCGGATGCGCGATCAGGTTACTGCGAGCGCAGCGTGTCATCGGAGTCGCCTTTAGCCCTCATTCCGCCGACAGCGAGACTGCGGGCAAGAACGACGTGCTAGCGCATTCGTGGCGACGTGCTTCGTCGCAAGCAACGAAGCTGTAAGCGGAGGCACGGTCAGATTACTACGAGTGGGCGCACCGGAGGCACGATCAGATTACTACGAGCGGGCGCGTGGTCTACGAGCGTGACGCGTCGTCGGAGTTGGCTTTAGCCCTCACTTCACTGACGGCGAGACTGCGGGGCGGAACGTCGTGCTAGCGCACTCATGGCGACGTGCTTCGTCGCAAGCAACGAAGCTGTAAGCGGAGGCACAGTCAGATTACTATGAGTGGGCGCACCGGAGGCACGTTCAGATTATACAAGTGGGCGCACCGGATGCACGATCAGATTACTACGAGCGGGCGCGTGGTCTACGAGCGCGGTGCGTCATCGGAGTCGGCTTTTTAGCCCTAACTCCGCCGACAGCGAGACTGCGGCCAGGAACGACATGGTAGCGCATCCAAAACAACTCGCGGGTTGTTTTGGATGCACTGGACACCTTTCGCTCCTTCTTCGGCACACATTACGACGACGTAGCAATGGACCACTTTTTCGAGTGCGAAGGGAGAGCTTTGAAGTTGTTGCATGGCGAGAGTCGGCAAAGTAAGTTGACCAACTTCTGGCAATAAATTTTCGTTCTGCTGGCCGTATCACTGTTTTTGTCTCATACTCGGGACAACGAAATTTTTCGGTTTTCCCGGTGATTTCGTTATTGCGAGTTTCGACTGTAATCTCGTGCTGCAACGAAAAGGGGCTTGGCGCCTACATGTAAGCTCATTATTTTCATTCAAGGCCACTGTTAGTTTTGCTAGTTCTTAGTAATATTAACACTTCAAAGTCATTTCTACTAGAAGGGGCTAAAGTTTCAGTCACCGCGTCTTTCTTTTTTTTTTTTTTGTAAGACTCAACATTCCCTCTTCAGCCATGGAGGGTGTCTTATTGAAATTTAAAACAATGGCTAGCAACAAAGTAAAAAGCTTATGCTCTCAACCTTATTCTGCAACATATCCTTAGCGATCTAGCATTATTAACAGCAAACACAAAGTTTATGTGTTCCTTCTAGAAGAAGTGCAGTGCAGTATAGTAGCTTTACTCGAATTCAGCAAGCAAACAACTGTTAACGGAGTGTTCTCGACATCTGTATTTATTAAAACTATGCACTCGATTTCATCCTTTTTTCCAACCCCTACAGGTTAGAGTGATATACAATGGGATTTTATTGCAGACCAGTCAAGCCTGGTTCATGGGAGTCATTTGAACCAAGCATTGCACACTCCTCGTTGAACATGTACCGTATTTACATGCTTATAATACAACTCAACTGTAGGTCGACCCCCTAAAAGTGCAAGGCAAAAAAAAAAATGGCACACATGCTCACTTGATTTGAAAAATCTATTAATATTTTTGCCTAGGTGGCTTCATGGCAGTGCTAGAAAGCTGTGCAGGAAAGCTAGCTTTACAAAAATATGTGGGGAACATCTTCAGAAAGGCTTCATAGCCCTGATATTTTGATTTCAAGTCAAGACAACAGGGGTGGATTTCCAGTCGTGTAAGTGCGGTACTGTGCAGCACTTTCATGGACTCACAGTAGCTGAAAAGTGAGGAGACCTAATGGTCAAGGCCACCATGGAATTTAGTCTTGCATAATGCATGTTGTTTGCTGCAGTTCACAGTGGTGATTGACATACATTTTTTAGTAGTTCTTTGTCACTCTTTTTGCTAGTGCTCTCATTTATTTTATTTATTGTTGCTGTTAATAGCATTGCAGAAAGAAGATATTGCTCTGGCGTATCTAGCCAGGCTTGCTTGGGTTCTTGCATATTGAAGTGCAATGGTGAATGATAGCTTACAGTAGTTACACTCATTAATTTTTTTTACTTGTGATAGTAGAACAGTCTTGAGAATTAAAACTTTGCATACTGTGTTTTAAATGCACATCATATTCTTTCATTTTCTGCGCAGCACTTTGGCTATCAGGATGGCAGTAGCAGGCACCCTGACGGGGCCACAGAGCACACTGCAGTTACTGATAAAATGATGAAAGTCGAAGCCAAAGAGGAAAAGTCTGATGATGAAGGTAAGGGCACAGGGGCACTTTTTTTATGGCATTTGTAACACACCTCCAATACAAAGGAGGTTGTTGGACATTTATATACTTGTTTGCTTGCATTTCTGCTCACCTGTGCTGTTCACTGTTACAGGATGAATAAAGCAACAGGTAAGCACCGAACAAGTTCAAACTACAAAGCAGTTTAGCAAAATGTGATTCTGATAAATAACAAATTTGTAATATCCAGTTATGTAGTATGGAGAGTAATGTAGCTGAATGTGCCGTGCCTGTAGGTTGCCTTTTAAAATTTGAAAACATCTGTTAAGTAGCACAAGATGTGTGAATGAAACTAATGACTGAAAGAAAGATCAGACTACGGTCAACTATTTGTGGATGAGGCCTGCATTTTTCCACGAGCTGACCCGTTCCACAATTCCATCACAGGCTGGGCCTTCTTAACGGAGAAACGTGTCGAAGTTGCTGAACTTGCCTGGCTGCTTCCTTTTGCATTTTGGTGCATTTGAATGTGATCCACCATGTTGAGGCAAGGATTCCTCTTACAACTGGCAAGGGATTGGAAGCACGCTTGTAATACTTGACACCATCATATCTAATACGCTGGTGCTAAGGCACTAATTCCAGCTGCTTCAAGGAACATGCCATTAGCATTGCTGCCATTGTTCACAGGCAATTGCACTGTTAGGTCCCTGCTGTATTTTGGGGGGAGATATAAATATTGTGGGCATTCTTAACGATGTGCACAGGGTGTTCGATAAGAAAGGGAACACGTTAATCAATATGAAAGCAACAGTTACTGCTAAAGCATAATTTTAAACCTCACTCCCCCAACGCTTCTCAAGTAGCTTTTCCCTGCTGAGAACCTGTTACTTTTTACAATCGATGGTTTTGGTGTTTGTAAACAAACTGGCTTGGGTCGAACGGCCTACCCCAGAAGACTTCCGGTGTGCCACTTCCAGTAATGCTTTTTTAATGGTCCCGATAGTCTTATCGTGGTGTGTTTAAGTTTGTTGCTCTATTATTTCAGGTGCATTCCTTAGGATGTGTTTAAAGCAATGTCTAACGGCTACACGAAGGGGCTCGACATAGTATACGTGAGGTACAGGCTGCAGGTAACACTGCTTGCTCGGCCAACGAGTGTCACGCGAAATACCGTATTTACTCGCATAATGAACACACTTTTTTTCTCGAAAAATCGAAGCAAAGTTGGGGTTGCATTTATTATGTGGGGCACATTTTATGAAAACTTTTTTGGGAGGAGCGAAAAATGCGATAATGCAAAATAAAGTTAGGTTGCTTAGCCTTTCGCAATTTACATATGCCTACACTGCTTGGAAACAGCTTCTTTCTTGCACTTTACTCATCTTCGGTGGTTGATGGCGCTATCTTCTGCAAGCTGTCCCTGGGCCGCCCACACACGCCATAAAAACGTTTTGGGGCTATCTTAACAGCAACAGTGGTATCTGGTGCGATCTCGAGGGGCGTCCAAAAGCGTGCGCTACGACGCTACAACGAACTTTGCTAACTTCACGACAACCTCGCATGATGACCATGATGACACCATTGACATTGCAGCAAGCACGATGAGGTCGTGGTAGCAAGTAACCAACATTGCAGCAAGCTACTCATAAAGCATCAACACAAACCGTTGATAACAAGATTAACGACAAAATACGGCCGCCGCCTTGCTTCTACATGAAAAGTGCCTGTATGCGTCGATAACAATTGCGAAGCGAGGATCGGGTGATTTTTTATGGTTTTCCAGAAACCTGCAAATTGATAGCGATGAATGACTTTTCGCGACAGCAAATCCTGCCGTTGTCGTTCGAAAATCGCGTGCAGATGTTCGGGCTTTATTTGGAGAGTGGGGGGTGGGGTGATTCTAGAAAAAGGTGGAAAGGTAAGAAAAAGGGGTTAGGAGTGCACGGTAACTGTCTCTTATGTGAGGACACCTCAACTGATACTCACAGTGGAACGGGAAATGAAGGGACAGTTAGAGTGAAGAAAAAAGAAAGTAGGCTAAAAAAAAGAGATGGGGGGGGGGGGGGGGTCGCAGGAAGCGACCTACGTGGGTTGCACAGTTTGGTGACCTTCGCTGTGTGCTTATCAGCTGCGATGTCTCTACTCTGGCACTGCTCCTGAACTCTACTGTGGGGCACAGATATGACAGGGGACATGGGGTGCACAGATAGAAAGAAAAGCAATAGGCACACGGCAACAGGCGTAGGGGGAGGGAGTGAGCCGAGGTGGATGAGGGTGGTCGGCAAAGTAAATAAAGACGGAAGAGATCCAACGGGTGAGGAGGCGCCAGGTGTCAGTTACCGAGACTCCACCGGATGAATGTAGGGGGTTCATTTATCATGCAAGTGCGTTCATTACACAGGTATGATAAACTATTGCTCGAGGTGTTCTAATGAGCGCGGCATTCAGCTGCGTGTTATCTATAACAGTGGCCAACAGAAAATGCATAAACTTCAGCAGAAGTTTGTCAGCGAACTTAATTGGGCTAGTTGGTTCTGCATGCTGACGATGTAGATATGCTTTTTGTAGACTTGAAAATGCACACCTGACTTTTCCCTGTGCGCGTCTTTAAAGCGCACCCAAATCATCGATATGCAAAAGAAGAGTCGCCCGATCTATAGTGAAGTTGTTCAATAAAGCTTTTCGACTAGAACTGAAAACCTGCCTCCTGTTGAACCACCAACATAATTGTGTTTTCATCTAAGCACACAACCTCGGGATAAAACGCTTATTTCTGTGCCTGTGTCACACCTGGCACTTTTTATAGAGATCAGCGGTGATCGGAATCACTCGCGATCCTAAGTGTTGGTGTGACTGAGAAATTATATAATGTACTGATTATTAATAACGTCGACTGCGGCTGGGTCACGCAAACTATTATGGCTTACTCACGAGTAAACTGTTCATGAATCAAACTTTCTACGGTCCATGGTACACCGAAAGATAAATGAGTTAGATTGTGGGGATGTTTATTAGCGGTAAAAAGACAGACGATAAGTTATTTGCTCACACAGATAAGAGCCCACTCACTGGCATTGCTCTGAAAAACAAAAAACTAATGCAACGACAACAAAATGTAGATACCGTGACGTACACTGCGCGGCAATTCATCTTGAGGACAGCTACGTAGTGTCCCACGTTGTTTCGAACAGTACACATCAATGATGTCGCTCAAACACCTTTGCAACAAATTTTCAGTGTTAGCTTTCACCAACGTTACTTGAACCAGGTCAGTTTCACAGCTCCCCGCGCGCGCCGGCACGAGCGGCTGACGAGTGAACTAATGGCGCTGCTGTTCCGTCTTGCTTCACATACCACGCCGCGCGTCGCGACGCGCGTGTTGCCGCTTAGACACGACAACACGTTTTCGGCGCTCGGTTGCTTCTTCGCACCATTATTTAGTGAACTGTCGTTCCTTACGAAAGAGTTCTAACATGTGACAAGAGCGCCAATAAACAATGCCTTATTGTTGTGCCCCGGGCCGTAAAGCGGCTACGGAAATGACATTGATCATCATTTCTTTGAGCCAACCTGGGATCGCGATGAGTTTAAAAAAAGCCACCCGCATGTTCCCGCGGAAAGAAGAGTGAGGGGGGGGGAGGGTATTGCGTGTATGTTGCGTAATTGGGTATTGTTATTTCATCTTATTTACGGAATGATGAAAAAGCACGTCCTTCAAGGAGTGTTTGGAGGCTGATGTTGGGTTGTGCCCCACTACTGGTTGAAGGTACTGTTGCTTTCAGCGCATCTACTCTGGTCAAGCAAAGCATAGCCTGAAATTTTTTTTTCGATGGGGAATTGGGCGGGGGGCACCTGCTTCATTTCGGGCAAGGCACCCCCTTGAAATGGTCATTTGTTATTCTCTATGCTATCGCGAAAAAAAATTCCGGGGGAGGGGGGGGGGGGGGCATGGGCCTGGTGTGCTACCTCTTGGCTATGTCTGGCATGGACACAAACTGCACTCTGTGTAACGAACCGGAAACGGTTGGACATGCTGTGAGTGAGTGCTGGGATCCGATATTCTTTTGGGATGTGGTACAAGAGACCCTGAAAAAATATCTGCCGATAACACCTCATGGCATACGTTATATTTCAATACAGAATGAGGGTGGTGTTCCATATAATATGACGCAATTACTGGGCCTTTACAGTTTCTGGATAAAACGCATGGCCGTGAGCCACATGGATCCTAAAGCAAAATCGGCACGGGAAACTTCATTGAATGCGTAATATGTGCGCAAGATAGATCGAACGTTTATATACCCTAAATATCGTATGCAGGTGTTTGATGAATTTGTGAAAATGAACCGTTCTTAAACCGTCAAAGTGGTGCGAGTAGACCAATATGGTTTTTATGAATATGTATTTATTTATTTCTCAATAAAAAGGTTCTAAAAAGCACACGCGTGCCTGTGTAGTAGAACTCCCGCTCTCCCCGCAAACTGCCCGGGTTCAACCCCCCCCCCCCACACACACACGCACACACGCTAGAGATGAGCTCATGCCAGAAAATGAAATAGGGAAGTCATGATCATGGAGTCGGTCGAGTGATTTTAGCGACAACGCATCTCCGGGCAGATCAGACGTCTCGTCAGCTACACCGTTCGCGCTCAATAAAGTGATAAACTTCTCGTTGCCTTCCGCGTGCAGGAGCCAAAAGTTAATCGATGATGCCGTGTCAGGGATGACGTGCGGTGTTTTTCTACTGCAGAAATCTTGCACCAAGAGCTGCTACTACAAAAAACTGTTATTGTGGAACGAGGTGGTAGCTCTTGATTGTGTCCACAACTATTAGTGTTCATCGTAAACACTGCACAGTGTTTACAAAGCGGCCTACTAGCTTTCTCTGCCTGTCCTACGGAGGCCACAGCTAGCCAGAAAACCTTCAAATGTGGTGAAAACCAGAAAACAAAAGGTCTGTAACCTCTCGAAGAGGTTTGCCCGTGCGGCTGCCTCAAAAAGGAAGAAACATAAGGAGATCCTGGCTC